CAAGGGTTTTCCTTGAGGCACGATCTGGGTACTTCAAGGAAAATCCTTGAATCCCAGACAAAAATTCCAAGGATTTCCCTTGGAAGCTACGGGTTTCAAGACAGAGTCTGGGATTTCAAGGGCCAATCTTGAAATTATCCACCCAACCTTGAAATCCCAGAAATTTCCTGGGATTTCAAGACATTCTTTTTACCGTGGGGTCCTCTAGCCTGCAGCAGCCTGGCGGTGGCACACACACACACACACGCGCGCACACACGACGCCGTATATGTGTATTTGTGGGGCCTTGTGTGTCGATACTTGGCTGCACATTCCTCTTGCTGTTCGGCCAAGTGCTGCCGTGGGGCGGTCCCGAGGTCGCGCTGCGCCAAACTCGAAGCGGGACGGTTACTCACCACTTTGCCGTATTGTGTTTGTATGTGTGTGTGCGTCTCTCCCTCCCTCAGCCGCTGCAATGCCCCCTGGGTACAAACACTGTGCAAACATCACTGAAAAGTGGCGAAAGTCGTATGCATACATGTGCCTCAAGCTGCATAAGCTCCTGTCAAACGAAAAGTGAGTTGTGTTCCGTTGTTTCGGTTTGTATTTACAAACGGTGCAACGAGTGGCACACGCACGACGAAAAAATAAGTTTTCATTTCGATATCAAACACGAAAGAGTTGTTACCGCCTGTCACCATTCTAGTTTTTGTCTTCTTTCAATTGGGCACATTCAGAAAACGGGTGTAAAAATTAGTCTCCTTCAATCTTTATGTACCTTACACATAATTTTAATTTGTCAGTGCACAGGTGTGTTCTTTTTTGTGTGTATGCCAACGCTGCTCGGACGTCGTCGTGAAATTTGACCCGCTTGGCTCTGGACTCCGGAGATGCATCGCTCTCCCCGCCCCGCCGTCGGGCCGCGGCGGGCAAGCAGCTGGGGGATCTGATTTGCTGTCATTCAGAAGTCTCCGGCCGCTGTATCTGATGGCGCTGTCCGTACGCGCTCGCGCTCCCCTCTCCCTAATTGGAAGACAATTGGGACCAGGCCGGCCGGAGTTCGAACGGGTTGGGATGGAGGGTCCGCCCCGCGGCCCCGGCGGCGTGCCTCCTCCCCCGCCGAGCCGATGTTCTGGCGATAGCGTAGGGAGTCACGGTGGTGTCGGAGGAGCCGCGAGGACGCCGACGTGTAGCAGCAGCAGCAGCAGCAGTGCACCGCAGTGGGACCCACAACGGGGATGGGGGTCATCATCATCATCAGCATCGCTATGACCATAACAGCAGCGGCGGAGAGAAACTCGGCGGTGGCCACGGCGCGGCAGGGACCACATCTGCTGCTGCTGCTGCTGCGGGTTTTCCTGGAAGGAATGTAAAAATTAAGTCGCGCGGGCTGTGCAAATAGCGTTGCGCTGCTGCTGCTGCTGCTGCTGCTGCTGCGAGCGGAGCGGCCCAGGGCCCAGACCGAGCAGACAGCCACCACCACCACCGGGACCGGGCGGCAGACGCGGCCAGCCCGAGCAGCCAGGCAGGCAGGGCGTTTGCCGCCGCTGCTGCCCCGGGGGACATAATTACCCCTCGCGCTACCTGATACGCCACGCCCCGCCACGCCGAGCCACGGCCGCGGGGCAGTTCACTGATCCGTGACACGGCGGCGGATGGAGAAGGTGTGAAGCAGCGGGAGGGCGAGACAGAGAGAGAGAGAGGGGGAGAAAGAGAGAGAGATATGCGCGGGAAAACGTTTCAGGAACAGGAAAAGAGAAGGCGTCGTGTGTTAATATTGCTTCGTTAATACCTATCATTTATTTGATGGGTCGTTAAATATAGATAGGTATATGACGTGCCATTGGGTCGTCGTGTGGAGAGGTGTGAGCAAAGTTGTGTGTGTGTGTTATTTGGAACGAGGTATAAGAAAAAAAACATGAAAAATAAAAAATAAAGAGACGCTTCGTTCTGCGTTGCATCCCGTGTGTCCCCTGAGCCGTGTAATCGCCCCTGCTCCGACGCGACGCCGCGGGTCGCCCCAGAGGTCGATCGTTCGTCTCGTCGTTGACCCCTCTGGCGGGGTCAAGCTGTAACGCTACGTGCAAGCGCGGAGTGCATCTTCAGGACAATGAGGTGGATTGGGTTGGGGGGGGGGGTAGTCCAGCGGAAAGCAC